GAGTGCCTTCTGTTGTCATCTTCTCTGGGAATCAGCAAGCAGCAGGACAGACTTTACCGGCCTGACTCGACTGACTACGGTTAGTCACGTTCCGTCAAACGGACCCTGACTCTAATTGAGTTGTGTACTTGTTCATGGCTTCATTTGTTGCGGTCAAATTGAATTTGTTGTAGTGAGTTTTTTTGACGAACCCATAGCGCTTCCAAAGCAAATCGAATGGCGTCCGACATTTACTTAGTGTTTGTGTGCTTTGTTTTAGAAGTTATTGAAAATGCAGTGAACATCATATATAGAATCTAAACTTAACAAGCTCAATATTTGATTTGCAAAGTCCGGCGAAGTAAAAAATGATTGCATGATCGCGTGTCATGATGTGATGTCCGGCGGAAAGCGACAAAGCCACGCAAAACCTGTTCAAAGGAAGGTCTAAGTTTTTAAGTGTAGGTCACAACACATCACCACACATCGACAAAGAACGAAGGCTCCAAACACTTGATACAAGGCAAAACATTTACATCTAATAGATGGTACGCAAAGATTTTACAAATTCAACATAAGATCTACCAGACAACAACAAAGACAGCTAAAGTTAAATTTGCATACGAAAGAAATTTTCTAGATTTTGCGAAGATCAACGGCAGAAAGCGCAAAACACTTTCCCACACATTCTCTAAGTTTTCCTCCTACACATCAAATGAACAGGTAGCCGGTCTAGACCCCCCTGATCTGGTCCCCACCTTTTGTTTGGGGAGCTTCAAACCTTGTCCTGTCCACCGGACTCGACCCGCCAATGCTGGCGGCACAAGCTCCCGCACTCACTGTTTGATGCCCTGAGCTTCAAAAGGTTCAGATCCGACTTTTGTCCTCCGGACTCAAGCTTTGTTGCTGTTGACAGTTTTTGGATGTTGACATTTGTTGGCATTTGCTTTTGACATGTGTCAGTTTTTGGATCAAGGCTTTGTGGGGAGTCACTGTGCAACATGGGTGAACGTGTTCGATACCCATTCACTATGATGTGGAAGAGTGACCTGATGTCAGCGGAGGAGATGAGTCGCTTTGTGGAGGCTTTGCAGCCTCAAGATCTTTGCCTTGAGCCGACTCTAGTCTTGACAATGACAAGTTTGCATAGACAGGATTTATGGGTACTGAGTCTGCGAAGCCAAGGATTGAGCCCTTTTCCACAGATGCTGCTTTTGCTGAGTGGGCTCGGAGCCTTGGTGTGGTACTGAGGTTCTCATGCTGTTCTTTCCGCTTGAAATCAAGCTGATGCTCTTGTGTAGAAATCTCCATGACCGGAGATGTCTCATAGCCTTCAAGTAGTTGCAACCCCGAGACCGCCGGACTATGTGAGAAAAGTGTGTGGCTGCGCTTTGGTTCAGTTTTGTGTTCATTCTCACACGATAATCTGGATTTGACTTGTGTTCTGACAGGCTGCCACCTACAGCCTTTGCTCAGGGGCTGTGCTGGGGTGCTGGTGTTGAAATACATTATTAGAAACATTCCCAAAGACATCCCAGAGTCAATTTCTATCCAGAGTCTGTTTTAAAAAATTTCTTGTTCATCCTCATTATCAGTCAAGGATCAACGAGAATGATTTTGTTCGATCCATTCGTAATATCTGTCCAGTACCTCCACCTGATTGTTATGAACACGAACCAGAGCATGATTTGAAGAGATTCTTTATCAATGATGATCGCATCATTCATTTGGATGGCAAGTATCAGGTCGATCCAAAGGCCCTTGAAAGGGCAGAACATGCTCGAGAAGAATTGGAGGATACGAAGAAGGAACTTAAGAAGGAACTGGAATCATATGGTCCCAAGGGACCCAGTTGGGACTTTGTCACCTTCTATGAAGAGCTGTGCAGAAGGTTCCTCAAGGGAAGAATAGAAGAACCATATGGAACTAACTTATTGGCCAGCTCAGAGTCCTTGACATTTTTATCCTGGAACTATGGCAACATGGTTCGTGGTCAGAAGTACACCACACCAAGGTTTCTCCAAGGACTTGATAGTGCAATGAGGCCACGCAAACAGAGCGCCATGTCACTTCAGAATGAGCAATTTGAGAACAACCTTTTCTTCAACATGCTCTTCTTTTTACGTGCACATGTCGTGATTCTACAGGAAGCTCATCTTCTTGTTCCTGCCAAGGAATTTTTTTTGAGCAAAAGAATTGGACAGTTTGTTTCAATGATTGGGAGAATCTTGCAGTGATGGCTAGATTGGCACCAGGTGGATATGTCAAGATCATTGCTGGACATGATCAAGAACTTGGTCACTGTGAACAGCGTGATGTAACTTGGGCTATCTACGAGATTTGTTTTGGAGAAACAAGGCCTCGTCAAGATTTCAAGGATGCAGACTTTGAATTTGATGACTATGGTCCTGAGGACAAGCGTGTTCCACTTACTCGAGCGAACATGCATACCATCAGAGTCTGTAATTATCATGTTGATACACACCGTGCTGTGGATGCCCACCTACTGACAGGAGAACAGACAGCATTGATGCTTTACGAGTGTTTTGTCTATGAGGTGGACATCATTTCTGGTGATGCAAATAGTTTGGCCTACAGAATGTCTGGGTACAAAAGGCAGCCAATGGCTAACTACTATTACAGCACCATGCAGCATTGGATCCGCAGGTTTTCAGAAGCTCGTGTAAAAGCAGATCCTGGTATCAAAGCACCTATTCCCAGAACATTTTACAGTTCAACTTCACAGGTCCTCAAGAAGTGTGAAGTTTACTTTGATAAACTCTGGGAAGAATATTCTACTGTTGAAAAAGAAGAATACCAAGGATCACAGCTTGGCGATACATGTTTGTCTACCATTGTTGAATGGGGTCATTCAATGAGTGAAGAGGAATATGAAAATTCCACAGTGAGCACGAAGGAGTTCATCTGTAATTTTTCAGAGAACTTTGCTATGATTGACACGGAGGTTATGTGCTCAAGACCCTCTGACGAGGACAGTCATGGTCCAATGTTTATTTCACTCAGACCAGCTTCCTTTTCATCTGGAGACAGAAGACAGTATCGCATGGGAGCAACTCTTCATGAGGCGAACTTGCGGAGGAAGGAGAGACAGAAGCAGAATAGAAAGAAAGGAAGGCTGCCAACTTCTGATCAAGCAGCTTCATTGTCTGCAGCGGCATAATTCCTGAGCGAAGGCTGAAATTTAAATGATGGCTAGGAAGTGAAGATACTTCTGGTTACAGTTGATACTTTGCTTCCAAGCTTGACTTTAAGTTGCCGGGCTGAAGTTTTAAACTTTAGCAGGTAGATATGGACAGTTTTACATAACTGATGATATCTATCACCACCGCTCTTATGAAGTGACCTCTAATGGACAACCAGTCATGGTTGATGATTAAGTCATTTCATGATTTGCAATTGTAGTGCAAGATTTTTTGTACATACATGTGCCGGTATCTCCTTCTTGTGTTTTTGATGTGAATGTGAAAGAGAGTCCTTTTGATGCAGTTTTATTTTGTCTGTGGATGAAAGCGGTCGAGACCACGTCACGAGAAGATTATTCCTCGGACCGTACGCTCCTTGCATTTTGCAAGGCATTTTAATTAATTGCATTTGTGCGGTCTTGAGTTTTTGTTTCCTTGTTACGCGAGTGTCGTTTGATTCTTTTATAGGTCTCTGTAGAGAAAAAGCCGCTTTCCCTTTTTAGTTTGATTTAGCTCAGGCCATAAAGAGCTAGTGAGCGCCGGTACATGGTATCTCCGCCTGTGAAAAATACAGTCTCCAGCCGAGGTACATTATCGTTTTGATTTTGTACTTGAGGTGAGTCAGCTATTGCTCCCTCACTGTATTTAGTAGCTTTGCGATTACCTTCTCTATAGTGTGAAACACACTGGATTAGGTAAGTACATGGCACCGTAGTTTTCTTTTAAGTTGCTAGAGCTAGCTGGACTGTTTTAGCCTTGCAGTAGAAAAAGAGTGTGCGACATACGCAATCAGCTAGGAGTGGACATGAATCTTGTGCCTGCTGAAAAGTAGAGCCTACCTGTACAGGGTTCCACTCCAACAGCCGATATAGTGTGTCCATACTTGACTGCTTCAAGGCTCAAAGAGCAAGAGGATAAGACTCTGCGCATAAAAGACACTAGCGGTCTGCACCTCTACCGTGTACGCCCTAGTCACTCTTTCACCCCCCACCCCCCCTCCCCTCCCCTCCGCCCCTCTCCCCTCCTCCCCTCTCCCCTCTCCCCTCTCCCCACCCCACCTCCCCTCTCCCCTCTCCCCACCCCACCTCCCCTCTCCTCCTCCTTGTCTTTCTCCCACTTTCCCTCCCTCCCTCCCTCCTCCCTCTTCCCAAGTTCGACTCCGTCCTGTCGTCGCTCTTTGGCATGCGGTTAGCGTTGCGTGTCTTGCGGCCGCACTCGCTCACTCTCACTGTCTCACTGTCTCACTGTCTCTCTCTCTCATCTCTCTCATCTCTCTCATCTCTTTCTCATCTCTCTCTCCTCTCTCTCATCTCTCTTTCCTCTCTCTCTCTCTCTCTCCTCTCTGTCTCTCGTGTTTCCGTCTCTCTTCTCTCTCTTCTCTCGCAGGAGGATCCGGGCAAAGAGCCACATATAAAGGACTCTTCACCCCTGCCTCCAAAAAGAGCGCCGTGTTTTTTCCTACCTCGCTGCCCTCCACTTTCCCATTCTGGAGCGCTAGCTTTCGCCCCCCCCCCTTGGCCTCAAGTTTCAGAGACAAAAAACATTGAATGGCAACTCTAGGCACAAAAAGCAAGTCTGGGTTCGTGGGGAGGGGACACGAGTGGAGCATTCATTTTGTGTAGATCGAGGCCAACAACCACACAAGGAAGGGCCCTGACTGACAACAATCAGAACGTTGAAAGGCAAGGTTTCTAAATGTTTTAGAGGTCTCTCCATCATCCAATTTCCACGGGAAAACCAGACTCCCCAATTGACTGACCATGACAAGGTTGTTCGCCAACTCCGCATGCCCATGGGCAGAGTCCTCCACGCGCCAAGGAAGGCGACAAGCTCCTCCGGACCCAGAGGCCACGCGTACGACGCAGTCGCTGGGAGAACCGTGGACAGCAAACCGGATCCGAACGGCATTGAGATTCCACTTCAAAACGTCACGTTTTTGTTCAGGGTATTGATCTATATATATATGCATATATATACTACTGTTGCCAGCGAATGTCATAAGCAGGCCCTGTCGAGTTCACTGGCAGGCGCTGCCCACGGCGGAGGAACGGCCCTTGGGCCAGGTGAGGCTTTTGCAACCGCCGGACGTCACACCCCAAGAGGCGCGGCGGACGTCAACGCGAAGCGAGGAGTGAGAGGTGAGGGGTGAGGTGAGGGGTGAGTGTGGGGTTTTTTCCTGAGGTCGTTTGGGTTAAGGCGGTTAAGGACACTTTTTTTTTGCCAGCTATAGTGCCATGTGTGACGGCTAGGCTTTGCAGAAAAAGATTTGGGGAAGGTCCAAGCACCAGTTGCTTGCCCATGATTGCCTGGGTTTCCGGTCGAGGCTCCTGTACTGAAGAAATTAAGGGTGGAAAGTGTTGGAACAAGGCCACCACAGATTTGTTGATGATATTTTTGGGTATCATCATCATGTTGTAGAACTGTACTTGTTTCTTTCTTCACACTTAGATAACATATGATAACATCAGTCAGCTGCAATTCTTCCGCACCGGTTTCAGTGGTCCTTGGATCGGATCCCCCTCCTGTCCGATGCACGGTTTGCAAAGTATGCAAAGCCAAAGTTCCCTCAGTTTACCACGGTCCCTCTGAGCTTGGGCCAGTTCCCCCTTTGAGGGCCCAAAAGCTCGAGACTTTTCCCAGGTCCTGAGCAAATACGCCGTCCTTTGCGAGTACTTGGAGCGGCGCCTAATGCATGGATTGGCGGAGACGTTCTCAATGTGTTTGGTTTCTACCTACACTTCCCGGAAGAATCATGGGCTAACGTGGATGGGAAAATGGCTGCGACTTCGGAGGAGCATATCTTCCGAATGCAGGTGGTTTTCACTCGACTTAGCCATGATTCCAGGGAGTCTAGGTTCCTCAGAGAGAAAGGCAGAATGGCCACCAACAGGCCTAGATAGAAAAGGTCTGAAAAGGTCAAACAAGTCACCTTGAAGAGGCTGGCAGTGTGTAACAGTGTGTATACTTATTTCTCATCACCTTTTTCGTCCTTCGACCCACCTTTGTTCTCATCACCTGGGCGATCTCACCCTCGAGACCTCGCTGAGAATCCCCTGAGACCGAGGGGTACCCCCGCCCCCCGCAACGCGGTGGGTGGCATGGGAAGCACGAAGGACCACAATTTGAAAATGCCCACCACCTCGCAGCTGCAGAACTGCGCCAAGAACAGCGGCCACTTGGCGAGCCAAAACGCGGCCGCTTTTGGTTCGACGTCGAAAAAGTCCAATGCCGTTGGCTGCAGAGGTTCAGAGACGACCCGCACATGGAAACACCAACAACCACCAGAGCTTCTGCAGTAGCTTGCAGAACTTTGATGGGAAGTTTCGGCAACACATCCAAACATCATGCAAACCAACCACACGCCTGTGATCGTGGATCGAGGTTTGCAGCTCTCCTATGCTGTGGCTGCTCCCATGATCAAGGACCTGGACGACGAGCGGATGGCGGATCATGGTGGATGGAGTTGTGGTTTCCTCCGCTGTGGTGATCATAATGTAGAGCAATGCTTCGGTTGATGGCGAGAAAGAGGACAAATATGGACAACTACGACCAGAATGATCCAGAATGGTGTTTCAATGTGTTTCATCTCCATATTTGGTTTTATTCATCGACAGCTTTTTACATGCTATACATGAATATAAACCCGGTTTTCCACCACTGCAACGGGAGATCATCATGCCAGATCGCTGGACCCTCAGAGGGTGTTGGAGACACACTCCATCCACCGGAGGATGGGGCGCTCATTCCTGAAGAAGCCCATCGGATGGGATGCCTAAAGCCTAAGTACCCCTCTGAGAACTGAAGGAGAACGGGGAACTTGAAGGAGAACCGGGAGCGCCAACTGGCGCATCCACAAATACCGTACACTCTGACGAACACATCACATGGAAGTGGATGGCATGGCCCCAAAAGAAAGACTAAGAACAGGGGTCAACTCCACTTCCATGATTGTTGGAGCGAGGGTATCTCCATCAAAACTTCAGCGAACTGAGGCGAGGCGAGCCGATGTCCATTCACCTGGGTGGTGAACGCCACACTTCATCTTTCGTCGGAAAGGTGAATGCCAACCTTGCGTGCTGTTTTTTGTCTTCTTTTTTGGAGGGGACGGCAGTATATGCACAGGTTGTTTGGGGTTGAAGGCCTTCTATGGGTGTAACCCCCAAGATGTGAATATAGTTTGGGAATTCCACTGAACTCCTAGTGACAGTCACCAAATGGCGGCAGCAACTGATCAACCAGGAGCTGCGACTTTGGATCATGTCCAAAGCTGTGGGGCAAGAGGCGAATGCCGGGACTGGTGGCCGGCAAGAGTGTGATTTCTGTTATTAATCATGTTTAATTACGACACTATAACCGCAAAGTAAAGGTTCTTTTTTTGTTCCAGGGTTGTTAGGTGGCGTGTGGTGGTCCGCGTGCAGCCAGCTGGGTTGGCCAGTAAACCATTGGGGCACTTTTTGGTTCAGCACAGTCAAGGGCATGCAGTTAAACATGTAGAGACGTAGAGGAGGCAAATGCTTTGACATGCGTGGGGAAGCCTGTCGTAAGTAGATTAGCCAGAGGCATCCAGAGGCCCTGTCTTTTTTTCCGGTTTCTTCAAGTGATCGCTAGACCCATGCATAGGAACCTCAATTATACAGGATTTCGATGTTCAAGCCAAAAGCCAAAAAAGAAGCCTTGAATAAGAAACCGGTGGACCCCATGAGGCACCGGAAGCCTGCAATCATCCCCATGTTTGCATCATATTCTCCCCCTGCAAACCATTACATATTTAAGGGGCTAGAACGGTACTAGAACGGGGTCAGCGGATTTGCTCAAGAATATCGGGGTGCTTTGTGTTTGCATGTTGCTCGCCGGTTGTCCTCATTGTTGGAACCGTTCGAACAAGCCCAGTCACCGCTGCTGTTCGCCACGATGACCCTTGTGTGACACGTAGAAGTCCTCTCGCCCGGCCAAGCGAGTCGGCAGCGGGTGGATGAGTCAGCGCCCAGGTGATGATCTTCGACATTTTTGGCACTTCGATCTCGGGCACCCTCCGTCACTGGTGCTCAGAGCACGACAACTGGTCGGCCCGGACCGCCGAGAGAGCGACAAAACGACCCAAAACACGGAGCGAGCGCCGGAAGCGTGTTTGGAGCAGAGTTTTGAGGGAACGCAGCGCTGGACCCTTATGGCATCTCAGGAATTTCCAGTTTATATATATATATATACTAAACGATTATCAAAGCCCCCTAGGGTCAAGAAGGTCCTTGGGAGGTGTGCATGAGTTCGCAGGATTTCGCAGGTAGGCAAAACATGTAAATTGAAGTGGATTTGGCTTTGGGGTTTTATGATGTTTGATGTAGTGGACATTTAGATGGCGAGCCAGGCAAGTGGCCAGCAAACTTGTTGCAACGCATTGATAGTGTGCAAGCGAAGTCTGAGTGATGGTGGCCAGTTCAAGACGAACAGCCATCCAGTCATGTGTGATTCTGCCATGGGTGACTCAGCAAATCTTGGCAAGATCTATATCTGACAGTTGATTAACAACACCTTCCCATTAAGACAGATGCAGCACCTCTTCGCACGGATGTTTCGGTGTTTGAATACAGCTGATCAATATCGACCGCAGATCCGAGAGAGAGAGAGAGAACAAGTCCCGCGGCAGCTGGGCTGACGACCCTAGCTGGACTACCCTCCTCCGCTGGAGGTCCAGCTACAAATACGGAGTCAGGTTCTGAAATTCGTCTGTTGGTGGTCGAATTGAGGGTGGTTCCCTTGACGTGTCTCCAATCAATTCTGCGTTCACAGATCCAGCTCGCTTGATTGATCAGTCGTTTTCATGTGCACTTGGTTTGATACTTGAGGCTTGAGTTGGGTATCAAGCGTCCAGAAATGTCCCTTTCAGTTCAGGATGAGTAGCACCCTGCGGCATGAACCAACATACTGCTTCGGTAATCCATGAAACGAACAAGATGTAAAATATAGACCGTGCACCTGCTTCCATCACTCTTCAGTTGGTAGAGCAAAAACATGCAAAAGTCACATCAGAGGAGATTGCCAGCTTCCCACTGCCACTGTACTTAGAATTCCGGTACATTCTCAGAGCTGTCGGTGCAAGCCAACAAAAATTGCCTTTTGGGGAGCCGTAGCGAAAGCGGGTTTGTCCTATTGCCAACAGTCAGTAACCATCATCATCCACTGTGGCAATCGGATAGACCCGGACTGGGATTGTCGTGAATTGTTTGCGTGGGATCTAAGGTGGAGATTTGGACGGAGGACGGCAAAAGGCGTGGAGATAATCCGTCTATTCTGCGCCGAAGCTGCTGCATGCGGCTGAAGTCCATTGGCGAGTCCTTACTGGTACTGGCTGGAGAATCTGATGTTGAATGCATTCCAGCCCCTTCTCATTTTTCTATATGTTCTCCCATGTCCTTAAGTCTTGTGTGCGCCGACACCAAGCAGGAGATCAGCCATGCAGGTCGAATATCTCTTCTACGCCCCGTGTAGCATAGCACATCGACCATTTCGTCCACGGAGCGCTGCATTTGCGGACCTTTTCCGTGCCCACCAATACGGACATTGCTTAGGGAGGACCCAGTAGACTCCAGCAAGCACTCACCCACCAGTCACCCGTCCTTCCCGTCTCTTTCCCGTCTTTCGGGCCAGGTGTACCTTTCGCTCCTCCCGGGATCCCACCTTCTCCGTGTCCAGCAGCTCAGTCACTCGCGATCGTATCGACCGCGAGGCCCTGGGCCGCAGCCGCATGGGTTTTTCAATATAGAATGGGGACCCTTTGTCTAGTACATCTACAAAATGTCAATGGATGCCATCCAAGGACCCATTCTACATGAACTAGTGAGGGTACCCTGGATGGTTCCACCCCGATTGATTTGAGGTTGTTCTTTCCAAATGGCGTTGAAACCACAGGAGGGTAGGGGCACCAAAGCATACGAAACCCATCATGTCGAGAATCTCAGAAAAATATCGACTGTATACGCATGTATACACTGCACTTTGCAATACTTTCATCATTTTTCATCTCCTTTCCCTCCCCATTGACAAAGTTGCGTCCTCCCCGCTCCGTTTTGTGCATCCGAATTCGGAAATCACGACCCCCATCGAGGCATTTACAGTGGTTTCAGAGGCTCAGAGACACAAGTTCGCCCCAAGATGTCTTACATCAGAATCAGATGCGCGGCGGTTTGGTCAAAACAAAAACACGTGGGCCAGCTTGTGCCATATCCACTTTGGGAGTCACAAAAAGCTAAAAGGGTGTCCTACAACTAACGATCATCATCCGTTGCTGGTAAAGAGGATACAACCCCCACCCATACCCCACTTGTTCTGCCTTTTTGGGTCTCCCACGTTGACGCGGTGCGCGAGTCGGGTGCGTCTCCGTGTGCGACCGGAGTCGGACGTCGGAGTCAAAGGGAGGTCAGTCCGAGTTCGGATCTAACCCTCAGAACACTTGGTCATTGAAAAATGGGCACGGATGATTGAAAGATATTGAAAGTATGTGTTAACATAACTGAATTCGGAAACTGTCTCATCAACTTCCAGGCTATCACCATTTGCGTGTGGCATTGCTTTGGTCCATTGCTCTCTACCAACATGCACTTTCTTTCCGCGGTGCCCCAACCTTCCCCGCCTGTTTGTGCGAGATGTCTTTCGGCAATCATCGCTCCGTGCAAAAATCTGCACGGCAGAGAAGCTACATCACGTTGCTTCCGACCACGGGCACGTTGCTTCCGACCAGCGTTGCTCAGGTCTCCCAGCTGGGCTGCTTGGTTGAGAAGCAGCGCCTGGCCCCGATCGGCGGACCGCGCGGGTGCGTGAGGCGTTGAGGGGTTTGATGCTTACGCAAAAGATACAATGGGTTCAGAGTTATGCACAATCCCCACAATGTTTGATAGATGGAGGTCCACGTAAACCATATTAAACCATAAGCCACCAAACTTGGGTTGCGCCGCCTTTTACACCAACTATAGTTATAAATGACCATCCTGTTCGGGTGTCCTCGCTGGACTACCCCACACCACTGTTTGGGATCTCCAGCCAGGTAATTATATATTAGCTGCTAGCTGAAGATACGATCGAGAATTGCGAAGCATCGACTTCGGTCCTGACTAGCTACAGCTCGATCAACTGCGGCAATTTCCTGTTCTTCTCCATGCCAGAGGGCTTCATTGTTTGGTATGCCCAGTTGTTTGCACCACAATGTTGGATCCTGATTAGTAAAGGGGGGTCCCCCCCCTCCCTCAAACAAATAGGGGACCCTCTATAATAAACTACCACCAAAACAAATCTGGATTCCTGTGAGGATTCCTTTTTGTAATTGATTGTAGTATATATTTTCCTTTCATAGATTGTATATCAGCTAATGAATCATAATCATTGGCCTCAGGAGCTAAGTAAAGGAAGATTCCATGAGCAGTTTTTTTTCAGTGGAAACAACTTTTCACAATTGAGAACCCCTAAAACAAATCTATTATTGGTGATCAGGTGCCTTCCTGGTCTACTACCTTGAAAATTTGTTTAGGAGCAATGTTTTATAAAGGGTTTAATTAGGAATTGGTGGTTTTGGAAAGCTGTCAGTTTTGAAGAAACCTAGAGAAACCTATATCAGCTAATGAATCATAATCATTGGCCTCAGAAGGAATTCAAACCCTCATTAATTAGGTGTCCAATATAAATTGATTAGGGTCCCCAAACAAAATTAGCATTATTCAGGACCACTTTTTCCAACATGGGGTCTGGAATAATTTTGGGAAAAATTACCATTCTTGAAGACCGGTGTACTAATCAACATCCAACATTACGTGATGCAGCTCAGTTTGCACAGCTGTTTTCTTCAGCAGCAGTCCTCGTGGCATTCATGGACAAAAGCTTGCGCCTTGACAAGCCCAAACCCAAATATAAATATAATATATACATATATGCTTTGATCGCACGGTGCCTCTTGCGCCACACTTAGCGCTCCCCAAGAGACGAAGCGACAAACACACACACACTCTGACATTGGTTTTCAGTTAACTCAGTTCCCAAGTGGAAGAAAGGCGAAAGAACGGAAAGGCGATAGGTCCAAGCATTTGAAGGTGTTTTAACAAGAGGTTCAACTCCTATGCATTAGCCGCTTTACTGAATACCTAGCAGACCGCCTATGCATTAGCCGCTTTACTGAATATCTGGTAGACCGCCTATGCATTAGCCACTTTACTGAATACCTAGCAGACCGCCTATGCATTAGCCGTTTTACTGAATACCTAGCAGACCGCCTATGCACTAGCCGCTTTAAACAGTTTTTAAACAGTTTTGCAGGTACGTTTTCACACCTACCACTGCCGGTCTTCGTTGGCCACAGCAGCAGTGGCAGGTCTGTGGCCCCCTGCTTCTTTTGGTCCTACTAGTAGCAAGGCCAGAAACTACTAGTAGTACCCAGCCTTCTAGTGGAACCGACGGTAAAAATTACCAGCCAGGTAAAACCTTAGAAACAGGTGTTAACACACACACACAGTGCCGCTATCGGCGCTCTGTGTGCAACAACTTTGTACATATAGCGCCAGTTCTGGCGCGGCGGAAAAAATACTAGCCACCTAAAAAGCCTCAGAAAGACAGACAAAGAAAACAATACAAAAGCAGACTAAGAGGGCAAGAAAGAAAGAAATAGGTGTAGTTACGAGGCCCACTTAGTTAAATGAAAGTAGCTCGCGAGCAGGAACTTTGTCTTAGACCGCTCGGGTAGCTAGCAATAGATAGGAGAAACAGAAGGAAAGGCACCAACACACAAGTGTGTTGAGTGCGATTTCCTTCTGTTGCCCGAATAGCGGGTGGGATAGCAACGGAGGCCAGGAAGTAGGGAGGGGTGTCGTGTCTCACCGTTCAATTTCCGTGAAGCCCGGCGGCTTTGTGGCAGTTGATCCAGTAGTGAAACAAAGTCGGTTAAGAGAATCCAACGAACGGTGGAAACGGTGGAGTCTGTTACACGAATTCCGAAGTGGAAACGGCGCCTCCTTGCGGAGGATCACACCCAGCACCCAAGTGGGACGACTGAGCGAGTCACACTCTGACATTGGTTTTCAGTTAACTCAGTTCCCAAGTGGAAGAAATGCGAAAGAACGCAAAGGCGATAGGTCCAAGCATTTGAAGGTGTTTTAACAAAAGGTTCAACTCCTATGCATTAGCCGCTTTACTGAATACCTAGCAGACCGCCTATGCATTAGCCGCTTTACTGAATACCTAGCAGACCGCCTATGCATTAGCCGTTTTACTGAATACCTAGCAGACCGCCTATGCACTAGCCGCTTTAAACAGTTTTTAAACAGTTTTGCAGGTACGTTTTCACACCTACCACTGCCGGTCTTCGTTGGCCACAGCAGTAGTGGCAGGTCTGTGGCCCCCTGCTTCTTTTGGTCCTAGTAGTAAGGCCAGAAACTACTAGTAGCACCCAGCCTTCTAGTGGAACCGACGGTAAAATTACCAGGTAAAACCTTAGAAACAGGTGTTAACACACACACACACACACGATTGCTTTCCTTTTTGGGATGGGCGCACGTCCTTTATTTTCATGTGCAGACCCATTCTACCTATACAGGATCGTTTTGTGCGTCTTTCATCCAACACGTTTGGTCTTTACGACAGTTGCAACCCGAGAAACAGCACCCGCGGGCCGTGCGGCTCGTGACTCACAGCGACCGTCAGCGGTGGAATCCTCTTCTCGGAGACCCGTAATTTTACATGGTGTGTATTAGTAGATGCCGTTTTGTGCATTTGTCTCACATGGTTTTTTGGTAAGTTGCGGAGTTGTTGCCACAAAGCGAGATGCACCAAGCACATGTTCCTTGCCCACAGGCCTAGTGCCGAATTTCCAAGACAGTGTTTGGAAGGAGTCATGCATGCAGGAGTTGGCCCACATTCTAAAAGACCATGTCAAGGCAACAACTCTTTAATTCATACAACATGCCGAATCATTGTGCATGAGCGGGAAAAGAGCTGCAGAGATAGTGCTAGCTTCAAGTCAGAGGTGTGCTGTCGAGGTGGCACTTGCAGCCTGAACGCCCTAGAATCATCAGATTTACCGATGATATCCGATCATCAAGACCCATTTCTTGCTTGTTTTTGGCAGGTGCTGAGCAAAAAGAGCCACTGTTGTCGCAAGATCGAACCAAGCAAACGGACCTGTTTTATCCTGTTCCATCCTTGATTCAAAAGAGCCTTGGTGACACAGACCCCAAACCCCTAGGACACGTGACTGGCTGTCTCTTCACCCATTGCTATTCAGGTCCTGGTCGATGGGTTTCTTCGGGCTCGCCTTTCGGCTCAGGGAAGGATGTTGATTTAATTGCGGATTTGGTTCTTCGGTTGGCTTTCTGACTCATGCCGAAGTCGAAGCCGGTCAAGCCGAAACTGAAGCCAGCGGGCAGAGTTCACGGTCACTTGGCAGCTGAAGCCAGGCTTTCTTTTTGGCCGTGGAGGGCTTTGCAATTCGAGGATCCCCCCAGATCACCGGAATCTCCAAGGAGCGCCGTCGTAACGATGCTCGGATGCGACCGGATGCTGTCGTGCGTTTTACGTTCTCTTAGGTCAGGGAGTGATTCTCCAACGAATCATTGACCTCCTCTCTGATGCCGAGTGTGCGGGCCTCGTATGTGAAAAGGTGAAGCTTCTCCTTCATCCAACCGAGCGCGGTTTGGAGCCCATCCCTCCAATGCTGCCCCTCCCTCCAGGGCTGCCCATTCCTCCAGGGCTCGTATCCCCTGCGCCCTCCAAGCAAACCTTGGAGTTGAATGCGCTGCTGAGCAGCGGCTGGGATCTCCAGAGAGCACAGGCTTGGGTATTGAAATGTATTGAGATACCCTACCTTAGACAATCATGGAAGCTGAGCAGGCCCCACCTCACCTGTAGAGGGAAAATGGTCTTGCAGCGGCCTATGTTCCACTTCCATGATTGTTTCAGGGAGTGTATGTTGAGAGACCGGGAAAAGACCATGCCAAATCATCAAATCCCGAATTTTGGGGTTGCCAAAGACCACCTGCAACAATCGTTAAGGATTCATCGCCATAACTATCCATAACTGTCGAATCCAACTGCGATCCCCAAAAGGGTGCACCTGTGTTGAACTGCCTGTCCTACCAGGCTTCCTTTCAGGAGGCTCCAGCGGCCGCTCCAGCAGAGTCTTTTGGCTGGGTGGTGACTTTGAAGCCCATCCCGGAGGGCGTGGAGTGGGAGTTCAGGAAGTTGATCAGGGAGATCTTTGGCCTTGAGGAGCAACCGAGACAGACGAAATCAAGCGAAATCAGATGCATCTTCCACAAAGGTTGCCCCATGGATCGATGATTGTTCAATCGTTCATAAGGTCTTCTTTTTTGGGGGAGGGGTTGTTTTAATCCACCAAAAAGGGGAAGTTGCTGGCCTGGAGGGTAAGATAATGTGTGATGAGTGCTGTGGCGAGGTGTAGTGTGGTATGGTAAGATTATGTGAACTGGTAAGATATGGCAAGATTATGTAAAGTGCAATGCGATGTATATAATGATATACAAGTAGTTCCCGGCAAGCCCGCGGCGGAAGTTTCCAAGAACAAATTGACCTATAGGAGTGTCCCGGTTCTTTCCACCATGCGTGTCCCTCGTGTCCCTCAGTCAGACGCATGCGCTCCGGACTTTTGACCAACACAGCGCCACCTGTGCAAGGTCTGTGCTCCCTGATGTACTAAAGTTGTACTACAAAGTCGCCAGTTCTCAGCTTCCAGCTCGACAGATTGCTCCGCGCACTAAAGTTGCACTACAAAGTCGCCAGTTCTCATTTGATTGCTCCGCGCACTACAGTTGCACTACAAAGTCACCAGTTCTCAGCTTCCAGCTCGCCAGATACTCCACGTACTAGAGTTGTACTACAAAGTCGCCAGTTCTCAGCTTTCTCAGCTTCCAGCTCCACAGATTGCTCCGCGTATACTGAAGTTGTACTAGAAAGTCGCCAGTTCTCAGCTTCCAGCTCCCCACGTTCCTCCGCGTACTACAGTTGCACTACAAAGTCGCCAGTTCTCAGCATCCAAGGTTCACAAAGTGCTGTGCCTGCTCCGCCTGCCACGCAATCGCACATCGAGGTTCACAAAGTGCTGTGCCTGCCACGAAATCTACACCTCGAGGTTCACAAAGTGCGACACCTGCCACGAATTCCGCACATGGAGGTTCACAAAGTGCTGCGCCTGCCACGAAATCTGCACATGGAGGTTCACAAAGTGCTGCGCCTGCCACGAAATCTGCACATGGAGGTTCACAAAGCGCTGCACTTGCCGCGAAATCTGCACTTCAAGAAACAAGTGAAAACTCTAACCACAATGGAGAGACGAACGATTCCGACCATGGCGCGAGACCGTCCGGCGACCGTCGTTCCGCGGAGCTTCCCCGTCGAGGTTCGGAGAAGCATGGAGGTTCACAAAGTGCTGCGCCTGCTCTACGAAATCTGCACATGGAGGTTCACAAAGTACTGCGCCTGCCACGCAATCTGCACATCGAGGCTGCCACGACATCTGCAGATGGAGGTTCACAAAGTGCTGCGCTTGCCACGAAATCTGCACATCGAGGTTCACAAAGTGCTGTGCCTGCCACGACATCTGCACGTGGAGGCTCACAAGGTGCTGGGCCGGCCACGACATCTGCACCTCGGTTCACAAAGTGCTGCGCCTGCCACAAATTCTGGAGATGGAGGTTCACAAAGTGCTGCGCCTGCCACGAAATCTGCACTTTTATGAGTGGTGTCTGATGAGTGGTGTATGATGACTGGTGTATGATGAGTGGTGTCTGATGAGTGGTGTCTGATGAGTGGTGTATGATGAGTGGTGTACGCGAGTGGTGTCTGATGAGTGGTGTATGATGAGTGGTGTCTGATGAGTGGTGTATGATGAGTGGTGTCTGATGTATGATGTATGGTGTATGATGAGTGGTGTATGATGACTGGTGTATGATGACTGGTGCATTATGAGTGGTGTATGATGAGTGGTGTATGATGAGTGGTGTACTATGAGTGGTGATGATGAGTGGTGTATGATGAGTGGTGTATGATGAGTGGTGATTGATGAGTGGTGTATGATGAGTGGTGTATGATGAGTGGTGTCTGATGTGTGGTGTATGACGAGTTGTGTACGATGAGTGGTGTATGATGAGTGGTGTATGATGAGTGGTGTATTGAACAGCTGTTGAATGTCCGTAACACAGAAGTTTGCGCACTAGACTTCCTTTGATAATGTAATTAGGGGCGGTGATTCTGAAGTTATTTTTTGATTGTGACCAAAGTGTAGGGACAAGATGTGGCAAAAGGTTGTGTGATTGGCGATGTGGTGGGGCGAAGTGTTTCCGGGTGGTGATTGGTAAATGTACTTTGCTCTTAAGCTTGTCTCTCGAAACCCTATACTTTTCGGTATTCGGGAAGGAACCCAAAGACGCACCCAAAAGAGACGGCCACTTCACACACGAGAATGCCCACGAAGGAAGCCCAGGTGAAGGCTGAAAGCCGTACGATCCGCGAAGCCGAGCGCCGTTCCGTCTGACCGTTTGGGAACAGAGAACCAGCGCGTTTGGTTGAACATGGGCCAGTTTTAGAGGGAACAAGTGGAATGGCATCACATGCCCGCAAACAGGGGAGAAAGAAAGGCGTCCGAACAAAAAGACCAATGTCACGTCCCCAATGACATCGCAAAACTTCTTCGCTGGCCCCTCCAATGCTTTCACCCACATTCAGGGGCTTCCAGGAAAACCACAGGAGGGCAGACTTCGTTTCACAGGTTTGCGCCCGAAAACACAGACGAAGAACCCCTCACTGATGTTCAGCATCCCTGGAGGAGCTTCAGAGGGTATCAGCAGAAGAGGTCCATGTGCCAGTCAATTGCCGGAAGACGGCCTTCGGCCTGCGCGCACTCAACGGGATTGTCCAATTGGGCAGTGGAGAGCTGCAGGTGGGGCAGACCTCGGATTTCCCCGCACCCGACGGACCTCGCCCCGTTGCATCTCCCTCGGACCTCGGAGCCCAACGAAGTGGCAACACCCGCCATGTTCTTTCGTTCGTTCGTTCGTTCGTTCCTTCCTTCCTTCCTTATCTTTTCTTTTTATCCATGGGCCAGCCCATGGATCCCAACAAAAACGCAACAGTACAGAGTCGTTTCTGGTCAGTGGCCAGTTGATGCCAGTTGGATTTAAAGGGGCCGCAGATTTCCTTGCAGTTTACTCCCTTGCAGATCAATATGGAACTTCAGTTTCTAAAACACTACAAAACACTGGGTTGTACAAGAACATGGCTTGTTTACAGGTGAATTCTCAGGTTCCATGTTAATTTGCGGGGGGTAGTTGCTGCAGTCTAGTATTTGGGGGGACCATCGAGCTTTCAGATCGTTTTTGGGCTGTTTCTCTCATCGGTGGGGGTGCTCAGTTCCTGGAGGTGACTGTTCATGAAGTTTCATCCCTCCAAAGCACGGAGGGCAACGACCCGGAGCAGCACAGTGAACTACATTCGGAAGATGAAACGGACGACAGGGCCGAAGTCTTGACGCCTGGATGGCTGAGCGATTTTTGTTTCTTTTTGTTTCCCAGTGGATGCTCCCATTGTTTGGTCTGAAAATGGTCCAGAAGAAACTGATCGGATCCTCCACTTGTTTCCGGTGCGTCCTCGCAGTGTGTGGTGAGCCCAAAACTGCGTCTTGGGGCCCTCCTTGGGGGTGCTCCAGGCACTCCAGTCCAAGTTCGCAAGCCCCAGGATGAGGCAGCTCCTCTTAGAAGATGCCGAGCCTGGGAGAGCGAGCAAATCGGCCGCAAAGGGCACATCGGAGCGGCCAGCCGAAGATCCTGATGGCAAGGCAAAGAGGGTGATGCATCAATTGCTGGCAGAATCTTGTACGCCGAGTGTGGCAGATGCCCGGCAGTGAGCAGACGATGATTTACACATTACCATTTATTACCTTTAAAACCATCTTTTACCCAAATAATTGTTATATTGACGCACATGCATCACACAAATGTATGCATACACATAGACATGACTGAGATGGGCACCTGTGCCGTGGTCGACCTGTGCCGTTGTTCCCCAAGGGCGTCACGAAGATGGAGCGGCGCCGTGCCAGCTATCGCCCCAAGATCCGACGCGCGCTTCGCTGCGAGTCCGCGCGGTGAAGACCAACAGGGTGGCTGAAAAGGGGTCAATGTTGCTAACATGTAGTTATAACACATATATACGTACTATTATATACAGTTCATAGCTATATATATATATGTGCAGTTGCATTATATCTACATATACATATACTATACATTAGTTTGGAAGATCAACAATAACATAACATCACTTTGTGTTGGATAAAAGCCTTTAGCAACCATCATCATCATCCACTGTTACTGGCAGTGGGGTATAGCCCAGCGATTGAATTGTTGCAAGAGTAAAATCGCATGATGTTCCTGGCATGGACCATTCGTGCGGTGCAGTTGGCGGCACTGGGACGTGCACAAAGGCACTGGCACGTGCGCAGGTGAAAGTATGTGCAGGTTTTGTGCACAGTGCCAGTCACAGTGATGGATTGCTTGACATTCCAGAGTGGCAGTGATTAAGCGTCGCCACTCATAGAAGATTGATCGAGCTTCCATGTTAGTGTTTCACTCAAGCTTGCCATGCGACTTTAACGTTCACATGCTAGCAATCACAGGGCTCCCATCTTGTGAACGAATAAGATCCTCTTCCTGGCGGGACACCACGAACGACTGGAACTGAAATTCCCTGAAGAGTACTGAATGGAGTGGCGTATTTGGGTTTTGGGACCACATCAATGCCGGATCAGGGAGCCCGACTTCTGGTTGGCGGCCTCACAAAGTCCTTATTGACTCTTTGGAGAAGCAAAATCACAACAAAAATCACGTTGTTTCAGGTGGAGCGACTCGGCTGTCGCTCCAACCCTGCGCTGGCAGGGTCAAGCCCCCAACCAGGAACTTTGTGTAGTCAGGCAGTGAACTACGGATGGCTTGTTTCAAACACCGTTGACAGACGTGATCAGCGTTCAGACAGGCAATTGCTGAGATCGTCTCACCGTCATAGGGGTTCATGGACGAAAACCAGTGGAGAAAAGGGGATCCAACAGGACTGGAAAAAAAAAGAGTTCGGATTATTCAACGAAATGGATCTTAACTTTGTCATGGTGTGTCCTTGTTCTGCATTCGAATGCCATTTTCGATCCATTCCCCAAAGTGCCAGTGAACATCCATGGTTTCACCCACCATTTTAACACTTCAGCTCAGGCTGAAACTGTGACCAGTACACCCTCGAGGAGGAAACCCAACCCGGCAGAGCACCCAAAAACGTCCGCCGCGACGGAACTCGGGGGAACTCCAAACCGGTGGCTCCACATCGAAGGGAAAAGCACCTTGGAGGAGTTGGGTCATTCCACTTGTTCCATTTGTCCCCATCTGTCAACCAGGATATTCCCGGGCCCGGCCCTCGACTTTGTTCAATTTTTCAACAGGCAGCGCATGTGTGGAGAATTTGCTCCATCAACATCCATCAACCATATGATGCTCTGGAGATGCTTGTAGTGCTCACCGTTGGATCAACCGTCATGGAAGTCTTTGACCTGCAGAATCGTCGAAAAGACACGAAAATTAAACATGAATGACCTTCATGAAATCGAACGAAGAGCTTTCAAACGAATTCAAAAACACATCCCAAACGAACGGATGCGTGCTCAAACCGGGCCGAGAAAAAAACGTGCAAGCTGCGCGTTGAGCAAGCCAGCCACCAATTCCGGCAACATTGAAGGGGGGTGTAGCGGTTCGCATGGACACGTCGGCGCGGTACTTTGTATGTATGCGGCGGTGCTTGATCTGGTTCATCAACAGAATGAACACATCAATCAACATAATGTTTTATCCTACCGTTGTGTTTGGCCTGCTAGCAAGAGGTACTGTACCGAACAAAACCAAAAGGGATTCATTCGATGCTTTATGCGCTACATTTGCAGGCTACATGCAGACTATATGATGCTGGCCCCACTCATGAAATACGTTTGTTTGGCAGAGGGAAAGTTCAGTGCTGGCTTGCCTATGGAGCAGCACCTGACGAGGACTGCCAGACTGCATGATGAGAGAGGTCTCGACGGGGTACGTGCGCATTTGGGGGGTACATGCGCAGGCCAGGGGGTAAGCCAGCCAGGGGCAGGTGAAACACCACAGTGTCGGGCATGTTCATGGTGTGAATCTCCAAGTGTTTGCTGTTGAGCCTGACCAAAGAGTACCAAAGGCATGCCCTTGAGCCTTCTGGAAGAACAAGTTCCTTTTCAAAATGGGTGTGTCCACTATTGGTTTGGTATGGTTTGGCGCCATATGGTTGGCCGCCGTTTTCGCACCAGTGCAGCCTTTTTGGTATTCCTCTGTGAGGATCCCATGTCGGGTGACACCACTGCAGCAAGCTCAGTCAGCTTCCTGTTGAACAAGCGGCGCTGACCGTGGCGCGACCTCACCGGTCACGGCGGCGGCGGCGGCGTACCGTCGGGGTCGTTTTGATGTGTTTTGGGCGGGAGCCCCGCGTGGCGGGAGCCCCGCAAAGCAGGAAGTCGTGGTCATTGCGAACTTCCAGGAGACACCCCCTGGAGCGGAGAGTGCATAGCGGAGCTCCCACCCGGGCCGGCCCGGCATGCCCCGGCGATCGGTGGACTGTTTCACTCATCTCTATAGATGTGGGTCGGGTACTTGGGATATGGCGAATGGTACTCGTATTTTATCGCTTATAAGATCTTATGAGTGTTTTTGATTCCTTCTATGGCTCATTTCTGGCAACCCGGGTCACAAGTGAAAACCCCAGATCATGGAGGCTTCCTTCATGGGAAGGTCATGAAAGAATATGTCAATGTGAACTAATGTAACCTATCTTGATGAAAGACATCGATATGATATGATAAAGTTCTACAATCCAAAGTTGGGTATAGGTCTTATGACTCCACACGTCATGACGATGGGAAGATCTACCCGATGGTATACCTTCCGACGGTGGTGTCATCTCCTTCCTCTGGACCCTTGCAGGAGCGGACCTTGCAGGGACATGTGGCGTGGTTCCACGCCAAGGCCTGAAACGGGCCGCCAGGTCATACGACTGCCGGCCACTAGAGGTGGCATTGTATCGGCGAACTGGGCAGTATCGGCGAACACGTTTCAAGCAGATTCTTGGATTTTATGGCATTGGCACTGGTAGGGTCCCTGGTTAACCTCATGGTTAACCTCATGACTGCCCTCCGACAGAGAGGTCCAACGCTTAAGTGGCGACCAAAGAAGGCCTCATCGATACAGACCTTGTGAATCCCCAATGGCTATGTCACTCGTGGGGGGGCTGGAGCTTTGTGCGGGGGAAGTCTATGATTACAGGGGTGTATGTCAACTCCGGGTCCGTTTCAATTTTTTTGTTGATGGCCTGTTTCCCCGGCGGGAGAGACTCATTTGGGCCGTAGAGGATCTTTTGCTTCTGCTCATTTCCCACGGGATGAAATCTAGATGATCCAGATTCCAAAACAATCCCACAGCCTCCAGAGGCAGAGGGCGAGCTGGCTTTGGGCATTCACCCGCAGGATGCCTCAGGATAATGCACCAGGCGTTGGTTGTGCTGACAATGGCCCAGCCTCGTTCCTCCTTCGTGCCCAGCCTCGTGCCAAGGTGGATCCAGATCCAAGAAGTGCTGGCCAACACAGTGAGGCAGGATGTGCAGACAGACCTTTGACTGCAGACTTGTACCGGCTTTAATATATGTTCTATCTAGCTATGGTTCTTGAGGTGCACGGTTTTGTTGCCGGAAACTGGCGCCAGTGCCGTCTTTGTGACGTTGATCTCAGCTATGTTTCCAGGCCAGTTTTTGCAAGCCAAAAGGTGAAGCTGAGACAGCTAAGAGGCATTTGTGGTGGACACCTGGCAGAAAACCATGGACAAAGCAATGTCCAGACTCCTACTGCAAAAGCCCACGGCAAAATCAAGAACATAAAAACAATACAGTATATACATATACATTAAGAACAACAATGTATGACGGTATATTTTGAGCAAGCCCCTGTCTCAGCCCAACACCTTTCAGGAAGTGTGATTGGTTGTGTGTTAAAACCTTCGTTTGGTGTGGTGCGGCCCATGGGTTTCCTTCGAAAGTCGACCAAGCTGCTTTCAGGGCACAGCCAGAAGAGTTTTTGGATGATTGAACTCATCTTTGTCAAGGCTCCTTCTAAGTGCTTTTCCTTAAGCTATCACTTGTTCATACCTCTAGCTTCGATTATAGAGATATTCAGTTCCAAAACGTTTCCGAAAGGCGTTCTGCCAAATAAGGCGTTCTGCCAAATAAGGTCGGCTCAATCATTGGTACCTTCCTTTCGGCCCAATCAGGGCTCTCCCAACGAAGAACACCTTTCGATCCTTCGACTTCCACTCACCGGGCACCGCCGGCATCACCCGGCGCCCGTCTCGTCCCATGGCGAGGCTGGACTTCGAAGCGAAGGACCAGCAGCTGCGCGTCCGAGCCTCGGGAGCTGTCGCGCGGTTGCGGGTTTTCAAGGCGGCTTCGGAGGTCCATGGGCCGCGGAAGAGGACATCGAGGTGAAAAAAAATAAACAGGCATGAAATAGGAAGAAAACCGCCCGAGGTTTATTCCAAGTTGATGTGGAGGAAGTCGGAAGTGCGCTTCCCACTCCAAAGGTGAATTTGTATAGCCATTATCCACCTCAAAGGGTGCTTTTGTTGGTTTCATTCAGGGAAAGTGGCACAAGATTGGCTTGGGGCATGTTGAGGTGCACCTTCCCTCGACCGACAGCTTGAAGTTGGAGGCGGGCAGTTCAGGAGGTGTTACGCCGGATCTACCACTTGGAATCACTTTGGCCCAATGTGATCAATAATAAAGTACTATAAAGTACTATATATATACATATTGGACCCTCCCCCCCACAGTAACAGTCGTAAAGGGTCAGGGCCTTTAAAACCATACCCCAAAAAACACAATCATATTTAGTGTCATTTCGGGAAATTGGATTGCAATTTCTGGTCTAGGAAATGCAACATGATTGGATCAGTGGGCGGGTTATATAACTCTAAAGTTCAGGTTTGCAAACCAAAAACAACCAACATCATCCCTTCTCAAATGACAATTCAAAGAAAGAGTGACCCTACTTACCACAAGATTATGTAATACTTTGTTCATGCAGTTTGGTGCACCCATGGAACTTGACTTAACTTATTGACCTATTCTAATGGGTTGCCAATCTCATCTGGGTTTCACTGCACCTACATGGGGATAAACAAGTCTTTGGCTGTATCAACGCAGCCTCTTTCAAACCTTTAGTAAGGTAAGTAAATACCCATGGGCGAAATAACCATTGGGCAATTGGCAACATCACCGAATTCAATTTAAATGAAAGACTTAAGAATACCGTCAGCTGCCAATACAACATTGATACCCTCCGGCCCAGAACTCTTTATTATCCTTTCGGCTAAATCTTCTAGAACACGTCAAATCCTTTAACGCAACTCGCACCTGACCCCAAGCAAACCCTATGTTAGTAAGGGTCCAAATTGTCCATAAAAACTATATGATATGAATTGTTATGATATGAGTGATGGCTCAAGAATGGAACGGTAGGTAGCAGGTGGCCAGGATTACGTGCTCTCACAGCCACAGGAAAGAGGGAAAGAACGGAGGGAAAAGGGAGATTATGATTACACTTGGAGCAGGATGAGAGCCAAGTCCAAAATTGGCTCTGGCCCCGCAACATGTTCAAAAAATGCTCAGTTTCCTGTGATATTCTTTGTGGTTTGAGTTGTGCTTTTCTTCAACCCCGGATATTAAATCATACCATTACAAAAACCCAAGTCACACCAACAAAAACGCAAACGCGACCGCAGAATCATACCACAAAACACAAGTCATACCACAAAGAATGTCACAAAAGCGACCACAAATCACACCACAAAAATGCCACACAAAAACACAAGTCATACCAGAAAAGAAGCACAAAAGCGACCGCAAATCATACCACAAAAAACGCAAATCATACTACGTACCAAAAAACACAAATCAGACCAAACAAATACCACAAAGTCTTGTTTTTTTTGTGGTTTGATTTGTGTTTTTTTTGTGTTTGTGTTCCTTTTTTTCCTAGAGAGGGCCTCCAGTTTTCTACTTGGTCAATAAAGCAGGCGCCCCATTCCCTTGGGCCTGAAACTTCCGGGGCTGCCCACAGTTCCGGCGGCCAGCCAAGCCTCCCTCTAGAACCAGCCCTTTCTTCAGCCCTGCCAGATTTGCCCGTCAATCCCACCTCCGCCCAGCTCGTTTTCTTTGGCAGCTCATTTTCTTGTCCCCGGGCGCTACGATCAGCTAAACTATCGGTGAATGGTGTGCTGAGATTCTGCAGGTTCGTGTGGCCGCACGGGAAACAAGCGGGGGACAAGTGTAAAATCATCCGGCCAAGAGCATCTGATTTGCCGGTCCTCACCTTGAGCCTATTGAGTCAAGAATCGAAAAAGGCCGAGGGGATCCAAGTTGATGACAGTGAGCTGGAGCGGTTTGAGCCGTTGACTGTTTGACCGTTCGTCTCTGTGGCTTACTTCATAAGATTCATAAGTGTAAAAACTGTTTGGGGTCCATATCGCAAATACACATCCATATAACATCATATAACACACACATATATATATACTATATATATATATATTTACTTGTTTTGCTCTACTTTTATAGCATAATGGCATAGAGTCCTAGAGTCTAGAGTATTTCAACGGTAACGACCATCAAAAAACGACATGCTTGCGAGTTGATGCTCACCTGTGGCTCTAAGACGGGAAATAGGTTTCTGACATCTTCCGGTGTACTTGAGGGGTGTGTGCATGTACCACCATTGTAACCAGCGTGAAAAGGGCAAATGAAAGTCATCCTGATGCAAGCTGTGGCTATATTATGCTATATTGCTCAATTTTTGGTATGCATTGTGGTCAACCTGTTAGTGTACCGGGGCAGAGCCCAAAATATATAGTTTGTTTGTTTTTTTTGTCGGGGGGATGGAGGGGACTCATCACACACATTTCCTCATCGCTCCGTGACGATGTTGGCCTGACCCAGGTGGGAAGAGCTACCACCGCACCATCCAAAAACCACCGTCCCAAGCTGCTTCCTTTTGGAACTTGGACCACCCAAACTTGGCTTTCCCCACAGGCTTCCTGAAAAGAACATGGCGACCAACTATGTATAAGGCTCCACAAATAGCAGGATTCGGGATGTCTTTCTTTTGCGACGAAGTGTTCTTTGGCCCACCAATCCTGCTCGCGTTCCGTCCCGACACGGAGAAGCAGTGCAGGTGCAGTTCGTGGTCCATTTGCCGGCCATGCGAGGGCTCCCCGTACTGATGGTGCTTGAGCCATGGGACGTATCATGCCCCTGACACTCCAGTCCATGTGTGTCACATGTAGCTACCTTTTTGTTGGGGTGCTTGAAATGGGGTCAATGATGGCCAATGTAGCTAAATATGCCATGCATGGAGTGTTTCGGTGCTGTTGCGTCACAAACCAAGACAGGATGAACAAGCATGATTTGAGTTGTTCTTGGCGCTTGTGAATGTGTTGTTTCTTCATGTGGGATGTGACGTTCCAAGGCGTTTCAACGATGCTCGTGGTTCCTGGAACCCCGTCTCGACAAACATGGACCCACAGATCCAGGTATGGTGCAGGAAAGTTTTTCCCCCAAAGCAGCCCCCCAAACCCCCGGCATACTCTCCCGTCCTCCAATCATCCTGGAAGGTGACACACAGCTTCAAAAAAGAAACATGCGCTGAATCAAAACAAGTTTGTTTCATGAGTTTTCCGCTTACATCAATGTTTCGGAAGAGGGGCCCGGAAGAGCCGGAACACCCGTAAACCTCTCAGTCGCCACATTTTGCGTTTGGGTCACGCCTCAGGTGGCACGATGTGGACGACCAGCGGTTTCTGGTCACTGAGGAGGGGGAAGAACGGAGCAGAGAACGACACCGAAGGATCTGATGGTCGGGTGGTGGTTGGTGCCTATGAGAATTGTCCACGACACCGAAGGAAGATCAGATGTAGCTTGTAAAAAATAAAATAGAGAAAACGACATTTTAAGAACAAGATTCTTGATTAACACTTTCAGTTGGGTTGAACTGACTCTTCATAAGGGGGGTTATTAATCAAGAGTCTACATCTAAGAACCAGATGTCGGAAGATCGTGGAGCAGAGGGCCTTTTTGATCTGTGGGAAGTGCGGGGCTGGACGCTCTGATAATGACCGATGATGATTGCTTTCCACCTGGGGCGGTGTCATTCGGGGGTTCTTAGTTCGAGGTCTGAGTGTATTTTGCTTTTACCATTTCCAGTTTGCACCCGCCTAGGTTATTGAACCCGCGATGCCTAGGCATGTGACTGAACACAGCAGCATTTGCGGCCGCAAAGCCCTGAAGAGTCCCGGACCGGGGATGAAAGCTAGGAATTTAGTACTTTGCTGCAGTCGCAGAAAAGCCGCTTTGGCCTTGAGCGACCTATCTTAAAGTTGAAAAAGAAGAAAGGTCTAATATAGTTAAGTGTGCTAGTAGGTTGGAGGACATTGCTATTAGTTGTTCTCATTTGTTTGTAGATATTGTGCAATAGAGGCCTTGGCACATGGGCAGGAGTCATGACGTGCATGGACAATGTGGGTGAACTGTTTTGAGATGTGAAGACTTGACAAAAGGCCCATGCAAGTTTTGATGAAGAGCTGACAACAAATTTATTGCGGAGATGATGTTCAAATCTTCCGTACGAAGCAGCACGCAAGAAATTACACCACTTCACCATGCAATGGTGGCGCTAGAAAAGCCGGGCCAGCCCGCTGCCCAAGTGCAGCAGCGCGCGAAGCATCCTCCTCAGGTCTTATATTTGCAGCTTTGAGAAAGCGCTTTGGCTTGGTGCTGGGCAGCTTACAGGCAGGTGAACACTTTTTTTTTTTGCAAAGCCCCGCCCACCCTCCCCCGATTTGGTCCAAGTGCCTGCCCTTGAGCTTGGTGGCCTGCAAGGCTGGCTTGGCCTGGTGTGTCGACCATTGCAAGAAAAAGGGTGCAAGGGGAGTGGGGGGTTCTAGGTTGGCGCTAGTTTGTCATACCCAGGAGTACCCTTGGTAGACAGAATGCTTCTTTCTGATCTGGCTCGGCCATTCGAACATATCAGTTACCTGTCACGCGGAATCAGAAGTTGGTTGTTTGGGCGGCTGGTTCGCTGCCTGGAAACGGTCCTAAAATTTCATTTGAGGATTATGGGTGCTACCTTAGGCCGCTGTAAATTAAGTGACTCGTGATGAACGAGCTTCAGGGCACACCACACACTCTTTTGCGCTGGCTCGGGCAAATTAACAAGGTTGTCACATGCACTCCGCTTGAACATGAAGATTGATGTGGAAGGCTGTGCATAGTTTCTGTTCAGAGATGTTCACGGTAAAGCTGTCCTCACGCTGTTCGAAAACCTGTTGTTGTCAACTTTGACCAGAGTATATGGGCTAGATCAATTATATATTCAATTTACATCAATTTTGTTTGTTCTGTTCCGTTTGCACTAGTTTTCACAGCTTTTGTTATGGGAATCGGGCAAAACCTGATCAAGCGTGTGCTTGAAGCATTGCGGACGCTGTGGCTACCGCTCAAAGGTTTACAGAAATTGAAATAGCCAAGAAGAGTAGAAAATTGATCTTTCCATTCAAAGCACCTGCAGCATGGCGCTCGCATCGCAGAAAAGAGACTGTGATCCAAATTTGGTCCGTGATGATTCATGTCGCAAGGTCTCGCTGGAAAAAAGTGATCATGTAAGACAAAAACTAGTTCAACAACTTGGCGTTGGGTGAATTCAATATGAATTGGAGTGGGTGTACCCACCTCAAATTTATCTATATATGTAAGATAAACCAAGGGTGGTGGGACGTGGTGGTGGTCTAAGGTAGTAGTCATTGAGGATCTCAGTCGTAACCCCTTGGCGCACACTTCCGGTGTTTCTGGGACCAAGTGGATGACATCCATTTGTTTTGGTGTTTTTGGAGCCGGAACCCTTTTGGTTGGAGAATGTGCCCAGCTGCAGTTGAGGGTGGTTCACAAACTAATGATTGGTTGAGGATGCTCGGATGCTCGTAAAGTTACAGCCATTATTGAAATATAGTGACAATTTAAAGTTGTGTGTGCGTGTTGGGTGTGCAGCGTGGGGGGGGTTGCTCAACCTCAAGTCGCTGCGCGGCTTATTATGTGCCTTTTGTCGTTGCGATGCAGAACCCACCAGGTGGCTGGGATGATTTGTAGCTAACTTGTGGATGTTAGAACTTATTATAAAAATTTATGCATAAGTGGACTTAGAGGAGTTAAAACATACCCGTCTGGAATCCAACTATTTTTTCCTGGACCTGGGCCACAACTATATATAAAAACAATAGGTCCCCCTACCATGGCACATGGACCTGGCAAGCAGGACTTCATAACTGTTTCATATTCTAACATGATTTCATCAAACAGGATTTTATAAAAGTATGTTTTTTTTAATAAAGTCCTAGTGGTGATTCCATTGCAGATTCCTGGAACAATACCTTGTTTTAGGATTTTATAAACTGATACTGGCAAACCAGACGGCTAAAGTTGGGGGGGGCAGGGCGGCGCTGATATTCGGTTTTTTTTCGGACGGTGAAGAGGACTGGCCTCCAACCTAAGAGCGAAGGCCTCCACTAGCAAACTCTCTGTGTCAGACCTGCAGCCAGAAAGATCGTGCTGAATCATCAGGCATTGGGCCATGCTATGTTGTCCTGTACAGTCATGAAACTCACTGTAAAGAAGGCTGGCAGAAGAAGGCTGGCTCAATGCCTAAAGTTGCATGTTGGACGTGACACAGCACTGCTAGGAACAGGATTTTATAATTGGGTACCACTTTTAACAGAACAAACAGGATTTTATAATTAGGTTTGCTCTCGACTCTCGAAGATCTCGAAGCCTTTGCTTTGTAGGTGTTCCATTGTTGTGTGGACTCTTGCTGGAGGTAACCTGAGTGAAGCAGACTGTGAAGATGGCGGCGATCACTTCCAAGACTTTGACGGAAATGATGATGGCAATGATGATGAGGACATTGTGCCACCAATAGCCCAGTCTGAATCAACGGATCAATGCTTGGAGATGCTGCGACGCGTCCAGGACATGGAGAAGAGGATCCAAGATGAAGACAATGAGGTGAAGCGTTCAGATCCGCCACAGGAAGATGCTGCCCCAGGGAGTAAAGACCTTCAAGCACTTTTTGAGATCCCGGAGGATGCAGTGCAGTCTGATTCTTCCAAATCCATGCTTGGAAGGCTTGGCAGTTGCCGGACACTTTCGGAATTCTTCGACATTGTCTCTGGAGGTGTGGCTCACCAGGACATAGAACCGTTGTGGGGTCCAATGTGGCAGCTGTTGTGCAATTTGAGAGTGCCTGCTGACAAGGCTTGGTTGAAGAACCATCGTGGGTCCAGGGTTCGATCCGACAATCTGTCATGGCATCAAACTGCTCAGTGGCTTGGATGTCGAGCACGCGCAAGATTTTATAAACGTCACATTTTGTATGCTTTATCAAATTTCAGGATTTTATAAGCTTCACATATATCACATATTTCATTTCACTCTGCGCTAAGGTCATGAGGCGGATAGCAGGAGTTTCGGCTTCCCGCACGTCCAGGGTGGCTGCGTGGATGAATATGAATGCGGCCCTCCGGCTCCAACAAAGGTCTCGTTGGAGGTGGGTTCCATCATGTTGTACGCCACCAGTGGAAAGGAACCAAATTTCACATTGGGGTGTGCTTTGAGTGTGTTCCGCTTTGGGAAGCAGGGATGTAGACTCACCAGCTTTCCTGTTCCCTTTGAAGCAGTGGCCAAAATCCGCATGGTGCCGCTCCGGCGCATTGCAGACGGCGAGGAGGAGGAGGAGTGGTACGGATGCAATTCCTTTTCTGGGTGCATGCAGGTTCATCGCAAAGCTCACGGTCAAGGAATGTTTGGCTGGCTTGGATGGAATGCGTGTGGCGTTGAGTGATGATGACAAGATCGCCACGCAGGAAGCTCAGGGCAGCTCAGAATTAATGGACATGATCCTCAGCGGCGAGAAGAAACCAGGCAGAAAGAGAACGCAGCAGACCACCGATGCCGATGAGGTCGCTGCGCAAAGCAAGGCTTTCCAGTTCATGCCTTCGTCGTTTGGTGCAAGCAAAGCTGGAGGTCGCAACATTCAGCGTTGCATGGAGGGTTTGCTGAATCTGTACAGGTTAAGCTTTCCCCTGCAAAACATCTTCGACGAGCATGGCAATGTGAAAAGCACAGGAGTGGCTTGGGAGGACACAGTGAAGAGATCACCAGAGTTCTTCTCGAGCTACTTTGGTCATGCGAAGAAGGGCGACAGGTCAGCGCTGATCTTCAAGTACCTGGAGGACATCAAGCGTGCTTTGATGGAGAAGCCTGCAAGAAAGCATGGTTTTTTCAAGCTGCTGTCCGAGAACCGCAAAGGATCTCGGATGATGAACGACACTGCATGAGCAGGCCGGAAAAAAGTCAGCTCTGCATGCTCTGCGATGGATTTCCATGGATGGACAAGACAGCTTTTCTTATATTTTCCTGTGTGGAATTGTTAGTGTTTTGGCGGGCGTAAGGAATTCATAAATCTATGGTGCCCCAATCCCCGGGGAGGACGTGACCAGGAATCCGCCAAGATCTACGAGTGTTTCCCCAGGGAGTTTAATGTCCCAGTGATAGGATTTTATAGAACCTAAATTTTGAAGCATGGACCTGGCCAACAGGACTTAATAAATCTTGCGAACTAAATTTTCCTAGGAAATTTCTGTTTTTTCTAGGAGTCCAGGTCCCCCTGGAGTACACACGGGTATTTAAAACCTAGTTCTAAGTAGGTCGTAAGTAATTTTTAAATTGTATATGTTTAAAATCTTCTTTTCGCGCAAGAATTCTTGTTTTTCCGACGTGCGTTCGTTTTCAGTGCAAACAGAGGAGGAAAAACAAGTTTTTGCGTTTATTTGGCCTACACTGGAAAACTTAGAGTTCTAGATTCCTCGCCTACATTCATTCGGCCACCATTCGCTTAATCCTCCCGGAGCAGACTTTCTTTTCAGACTTTCCCGGAGCAGCCAAAAATCATTACCAAAAAAAGAATGAGTCTTATGTAAAAACACAATAAAACATGAGTCTTAAGTTCAACCTAAGTCGAACTTAAGTTCGATTTCAGTAGGAATTAAGTAGAAACAATAAACAAGATAATTTAGTTATAAGAACACCAAGTTAGTTGTAAGTGGAGGCGATTACTTAACACACGTATACAATTTATAACCTACGTTCAAAAACCTATAACCTACGTTATATCTTAAACAAAGTCGCACAGCAGCCGCCCGGCAGCACCTGAGGGTTCACCGAACCCAATTGCTCGCACACTTGACGAAACCTTTCGTGGGGCATTTTACGGCGGCATGTTCTGAAGCAATGTGATGCTCTGAATGCGCACGTTTCTGTCCATTCACGAATGTCACGAACCACTAATTGTTCGGAACCACAAGGGTGTTCAAGGTGTTTTTCTTCCGAACATATCAGGAGAACCGCCATCATGATTCTCGTCAAGTCACCAGAACGTGGTCTTGCATCAAAACCATTAGAGAAAAGACCATTCAAACATGCAAGTCACAATATGGAAAAAACATCACATCGTCAACCGTTTCGCGGCGGCGTGGTTCGAAGCGTTTTCTGGGCTCAATTTGCATTTTCAACTGCGTGCGGCTTGGTGTTCGCGCGAAACAGTTCGATGGAAACGGGGTTTGGCACGCCGTAGAAGATTGACATCGAACCTGAAATCCAGTGGTTTGTGGAGAAAACATATTTCGAAAGGTCCATTGTCAGGTTTCATGCCGTTTACCTTGCAACCGCTGCTTCTTAGACATTGGAATTCAGGGGAGGAACGATACGAACCACAATTACGTATGATCAGGGGAGAACTGGTTTGAAGCATCCAATTTCAACCATGATGGTAGTAGGCACGAGGAGGTAACCAGTGGGATGCGTGGACAACTTTTGGGAGGCCCTTAAGTTCAAGGTCACTACTGCCCTTCATCCACCCCTCTTCAGCACACCAAAGAGTAGCAAGACCCCATCAGAGTAGCAAGACAGGTAGCACCTCATCTTCAGGATGTGAAGGGTTCCCCAGTTCCCCAGTCCTTTGAACATCGGTTCCTTTGATCGATGGGAAGCCGTTGCCCCGCTTCTCCAGGAGGGGATGAAGGCTATGGATTTGCTTCCAGGTGCGACCGAAGGAAGCGGAAGATGTGGGCCACAGATGGCCACAGGGTCCGGGTCTCCGTTCACAGCCTTCCTCAGGTCCCCGACCGGCCAGGGATCTGACTTCGCATGACCTGCTTCACATGACCTACTTGCAGAAGGCCCATGTTTGTTTGCTGTATAAGGGGGTATATCGGTTTTGCCTTGGCTGGACTGTGTACATGCCATATGACGCGCCGCATAAACTACATAACTCCATCCTTTGGAGGTACCTTCACCCACGTCAGGGGACCAAACTATCACGCCCGGATAGATCAGAAGCAGTTCGGGCTCGGTGAGTGCCATTTGGAGTGCGTTAGCACTTCTAGATAGATCTTTCCAGGGAACGACAACATATGGACGCGAGAAAAAAACATGAAGAAACGGCCACGCGCACACACACACACACGCGCGCGTACCCCACTGGGAGACATCTTTTGCCTACAAACCCATGTTACCTTCGACTTCTTTTCCCGTGCCACACGGCAGTTGGTGTGGCTGTGCCATGGTTTATGGGCTTCATGGGCCACCGCCATGTGGGAACGGGCAGATGTGGGATGTTGGTCGGAGAGCTTCAGCTTCAGCAGCTGTTGCTTCTCAGCTTCCGCAGCCACGCTTTGCTTTGACGAGGTGGCCAGTGGTGCCCAAATCTAGTTGCGAAAAAATCATCAGAGATGCATACTGCAGACATGCACTTTGGCACTCGGAATCTGCTTTAATCGCCCATCCGTCGAATATTGCGAATATTGATGAAACGGCAATTTGATTGAACCACCAATGGGGCGCCCGGTGGCCCCAAATAGCATGGGCTCTGATATGAGCACCACATGTGATGCAGATAGAATCGTCAAAGACTAGACGTTGAAACACAGTCTGAACTGCCCGTGGGGGCCCCCATCGGGCCATCCACTCGGGAAGTCTTCACTTTCTGACTGCATATTGAGTGTATCACAATATGTGTAATTTTGATATTGTGTAATTATTAGTATATCATGTATTAAAAATATTACGCGTACCGTTCATTAGATTCTATTGGCACAGGATCAAGACGTCCAAATCTTCCGCGCTGCAGGTCTTCACATACGACCGCTGCTGCCGGGTACCATTCACAGAGATCAGCCAAATGTTGCTCTCGCGCTGGCCGGCCCTGGCGCGCGCACAGGAACGCTGGCCGGCGCGGCTCAAGAGCACGCGCAGGGGCCGCTGGAGGTGGCGTGCCCTTGCCGATTTGGCTGCGCAGCAGCTGGAACGCGCTGGGAGAAAGGTCAACGTTGCTTGGATGTGTATGTTCATTGCCAGTTTGCAGGCGGTGAATTGCATTATGATGGCGTTGTGATATTGATTCATCAGTTGATTAATCCATATCCACCATCATCATGGGATTTAGCACTCACCTACCACTAGCACTTCACCATCCGTTTTCTCCACCAATTTATGTAATTCTTCTACATCTTCTACCACAGGCTGCCATGCACCACCCATCGCAAGGCTGAGTCAAACCTAAGTAACCCAAATTCCTTCCGTGTCCTTTCTTTAGCTCAATAAGCTACTAGGAACATCTAGGAACAAGTGCATCGCTTCTAGCAACAAGTGCCTTACTACTAGTAACAATAAGTAGTTATTTAGCTGATTGGCGCCCATTGGTCCAAACTTTCCAGGATGGAGACTTCATCTCCGCCGTGGCCGAGCTTTTGGTCTTCTACACCTGGCGCCTCCGCGCGAACCGCGCCGCAGCTTCGAGGGACTTCGACCGCTCCAGTCGAACAGTGGAGCTGCGAACCTGGAGACGGCTTCGGAGGGCCATGGAGGCTCAAAGGGCGGGGCCTTTTGAGGCTTGCGCATGTGCAGGGAAAGGCCAGATCTGTTGTCCGTGTTGTTGAGTTGCTTTTTTTGAGAGTTGTTTAGTTATTTGATGTTATTTTGAGTTACTTCATGTTGTGTGTGTGTGTTTTTGACACGAATGCGCCTGGCTTACCCGCTGGACATGTCAACATGGTTTCTTGGGATGATTTCAGTTTCCCCACGTCAGGTGCAGCGAATGTTTAGAAGTCTGACTTTCAATGCCTGTGGAGTAGGTAGCGTAGCTGACTGACAGCATCCCCTTCATAGAGAAGTTTACTCTTGCATGTAGGAGCATTTGTTTGCCGCAAAGTGTCTTTATTGTTTTTGCGGATGTTCTTCCTGCTAGGCTATGACATGCTCATGGCTATGAGGGACAACATCAAGAGGCTCTGGCTGCACCATGCCAATTTCTCCAAGTTTCTCACCACTCCATCTGAGCCTGCGCACTATCTTTCGATCCTCCAATCCTGTGCGAATGAAGAGGTCTCCGCGCACGCACTGGTCTATTTCCAGCAGACCTCCCTCCAGATCTTTGGCCGAGAGAGAACCGGTCCAGCTATTTGTCTAAATCCCCACGACGATAACCATCACAGGTCAAAGGTTCGGTTCACCTCCTTGGTCCAAAAACGGGCGGCACAGTCGTAGGCCACGGGCTCGGCACAGTAGGCCACGAGGTGAGACATGGCCCAAGCTTTTTCAGGGGGGTCAGAACCAAAACGACGACAGGCATAACAAGACCAAAAACCTGCCAAAGGTGCCTTTTCTTGGCGTACTTTCATGTACAACCTTTGCTTTCGATCCTGTGAGCAGATCGGCAGGCAAATGGCTTTCATGTCCCATGTCGATGTCACGTTGCAATTCCTTTCCGAAGAACGGCACCGTCAGCGTGAAACGTCGAGAAAAACGGTCACCGTCACGGCCACGGCGATCGACAGGACGAACTGTGTCTCCGGGGACGTGGCGAGCAACATCGCAGTGGCACAAGCATGCATTCTGCAGGGCCGCTGGGATCGTGCAGCCGATTTGCTCTTGTTGGCCTTTGCGTTGGTCGTCTTGGCACCTTGGAGGGATTGTGGCCTGGCAGATTTGGGCAACAAACCATATCCCCACTGATGAGTGGTTTTGGGGGGGTTCTAGGCTAGTCACCGTTGGCAATGTGTGGTAATCATGTTTTTTTTTGTGTGTGTGTGTGTGTGTGGTGTGTAGACATTCACATGGACATGCTCGCAAAAAGGCCAGGACCTGAAAGAAGAAGCTGAACACCCAGGACCGGACCCCTCCAATCACGTGGAGCTGTTGTTTTTCTCCCCACGGACGCTGGCTGTGGGGGGTTCTGATTTGGATCGGATGATGCTTGACATGTGAGGGTTAATTTTACATGTTCATTGCGTTGCCATGGTGATTTGGCATTGAAACAGTGACCAGGGATGACTGAGGGATGACTTTGTCAGGTTCCTGTATGTTTTTGGCGAGGTTTGAGCTTGAGTTTCTGGGACATCACTGCTGATGATGTGGTCTACAACGCTGCACGCTTGGCCAGCATGAGCAGCAATAATGCCAAGCAGCGGCCGCAGTGGCTTGCCAGCAGACAGGAAGATGGGCCTTGGAGATGGCGTTTTTGGGACTTAAACGGTCCGATTCCTTGTCATGTGCCGGCATGGACATCGCAGTGATGCCGTCTATGGATCGGGTGGTGAGCTAAAGCTATCCAATGATCATGGGTGGAACATATTTTGTGACCGTTTTCCGTGGGCGGAGCAAATTTGTACTTTTGATTGCTGGAGGGAGAGTAGTTCAGACTAGACAATCGCATGCTGGAGCCTTGGTGAACATGGTTCCTTAGCGTTCATGCTCGTGTGGTTTTCGGGTTGTTGGATGGCGATCGCCTGGGCACTTTGTTCCACCAACCATCTTTTGGGATGAGCTGTTGAAATCCCAATATGTTCAACACGGGCTTTGAGCAACAGACATCGTTTGAGTCGTGCCCGCGCGGCCACCATATTCATCGTTCTTACACGGGGAGCAACCAGACATCACCAGACCTTGAGGTGCAATTGGTTTTTCTCCCGAAGACTTTCCGATGGTGAGGGATGGCCCATCCTTTTATAGGGAACGAGGGTGGATCCGTAGAGCGTAACTTCCCTGTAGATTTGCTGAAATCACGAAAGGTAGCCCTTTAGGGGATACCTTGAGTTTGCCTTGCGAAGCAAGTGTTGGGACGTCCGGGTCTAATAATTGATCGCTCAATTCAGACCCCCCCCACCCCCCCCCCCTTGGAATTGATTTTTCAATACAGACCCCCCCCCCTCTAAAATCAATTCTCTCCTGGAGAACGTCTTCGTGAGCCTCTCATGATTTCAGGATAGTTGAAACCCTCTTGAACATGTAGAAAGAGTGAATATGAAATTCTAATCACGAAAGGTGTTCCCCGAGGGGATACATACCTAGAGTTTGTTTTGTGAAGCACGTCAATTCTCTCCTGGGGAGCGTCTTCGTGAGCCTCTTATGGTTTCAGGATAGTTCAAATCCTATGATGTTCCGATTCAATGCTCACCGATGATCTGAGCCATGGGGCAAGTTTGTTTTCCTAAGAACCTTTTTGAACATTTCGAGAGCATATGTTTGAACATTTAGAGTGCATATGAACATATATTTACGAAAGGTCGCCTCCGAGGGGATAAATCACCATGTCGAACAATGCATTTTTGTTCCTGCCTCTCGCGTTCTCTTCTCTTCCCGCTGTCCTACCTTTCGTGTCTCCCTCCTCTCAAGTACACTTCCCCCATTTGGAGTGCATGCTGCCTCTTCATTTGGGGAGTCTTATATATTGTTTAATAATATGTGTTTTATTTGGTTTTGCTTAGGGTGATGTTCATTTTTCTATGGGTAGTTCACCCCTTCTGGGGAGGATACAAAACCTTGGTTTTTGCTCCAAGAAGATCCAAGACCCATCCGTCGCAAAAGGGGTGAAATCAGCGGACTAGATGTCGGCGAACCAGGCCTCATCCTCATCCACTGGTCCCCGGGGAATGGGGGTCCAAACCCAGGGCCCTGTTCTTCTCCACCCTTGGGCAGCTAGTTGTCAATTTCCACCGTTTGAGTGGAACCACCAGGCTGTGGGTCATGATCCCCAAATCAGGGTAGCTTGACCCTGAAACCTGGGGGCGGGTGGTCCATTCCGTTCACGCGCTGACGAGTCAAATCCCTGGGGTGACACGTCTTGTCCACGACACACTGATCGTTGAACAACAAGTTGCACAAATTAGGGCAGCTACAAAAGATGATCGAAAGAGAAGGTCCACGAATCGGCGAACCTTCCGGCACCCCCCGCAAGGATGCGAGAAAAGGCATGGAGCTCATCCAGAGCAAAGAAAGGGAGAGCGCCCACAATGGCACCCTGTGGAAGAACTCGTCCAATGCATTTGGTAGCACGGGCAGTAGGAACCCCAGGGAGAGCAAAAGGCGTCCTCTGGATCGTAACAATGCACTTCCGAAGTTGCAGCACAAGATCTTGGAAATGAGGAGGTCGTTGTCGGAGGCGAAAACCTCTCTTATAAAACAGAAAAGCAAGTTCCTGGTAAGTGCACAACACTCCCTCTTGGACTTTCCAATGAAGCGATTGGAAAAAGGCCAAAACTGTGTGCCAATCATCGATCCCAAAAAGCACTTTCGGAGGAGGGGATTCCAACGGGAAATTGAGTGTTATGTTGAATTCACTGACATCGATCTCCCATGCCAATCCAGGAAAGCACATCCTAGGGTCTTGAAGTTCCTGTTGCTTAGACGATCGTGGTTCAAAATGTAGATCATCCAGACATTCAGCGCCAATATGCTTGTTGAGGAGCGTGAGAACCTCTTGTTGATGCAAAATAGCAGAATGAAAGAATTGTTTGTCACCTGGTGCTATCGCACATCGTGCGAGGGCCTGCTGCTTGGCAATTCTATCGGCTTGACGATTGAGTTCAATATGTTTGCGCGAAGTACCAAGCTGTTCTATTCGGTCAGCTGAAACCATCGAAACTGGTATGTGGTCATCAACATGGGCCGGGATCCAAACCATCCTGATAACATCATTGCAGCTGTGAGGGCTCCGGATGTTTATGAGTCGCAGAAGAAACTGCCACCACTCCAAGTGCACATAGTTCCCTGGTATAAGGCGGTTCTCAACAAGGGCGTTCGCTTTAGTGACAACTTCACGACAATCACTGTAAATGCACAGGCAGCAATTTGCCCTGGCAGCTGCAACAACAATTGCCCAAAGTTCTGCAGAATACGAGGACAAGGACAAGTGGGAAACAGGCCCGGCAGCGAATGTGGTGCCGTCTTCCTGTATAACGGCAAACCCAGCTGCAGTGAGCGGAAAGCATTCGCCCCAGAAAACAGAGCCATCAGTCCATAGAGAAAGAATATCATCAGGGTGGTCGAAATCACACGGTACTAGATCAGCTGCACGATCAATACGCAAACGATGCCAGATTATTGGCCAAGGGTGCTCAATAATGCCGAGTTGCTGGAAGTTGGAGCCAAACTCATGTGGAGGTCCAAATTGAAAGTGTCTGTGAGCATCCGGGCAGCCCAAAATCTGCACCAAAGACTCCTTCTCATGTAAGCAGAAACGACAAGAACTGGTGTCTGAGTAGTTGGCTGCAAAGCGGCGATCATTGGTAATAGTGCAGCCAACCTGTTGAGCTTCGAAGAAAGAGAGCAAAGGCGGACCATGAGCTGTCTGCGCAGCAGCCTGTCTACCATAGAGCTTGGTGTGAAAAACATCGATGAACCCTTCCGGCTTGAAGAAGTCTTTACGATTGAGATTCGCTGGGTGCGAATAATGTACCTGCACTGCAAAATGTTTGAGAACAGGAGTGATGTCACGTACAGAGATCTCACGCAAAGAAATCTTTGTGTCTTCCCCGAAGCCAATACACAATGAGTCATCAAGACAGAGGCCAAAGGTGGCAAACGCATTCTGCACATTCTCAACCAGGGTGTGTCTGCCTGCCTTAGGGAGACGTGCAAGTCGACAGCAGCGATCAAAGGCATCACACTCGTGTTGGAGAAAACGGACAAAGTCTAAGATGGCACAAAAGGAACGGGCTACAAAAGGGTCACTCCTGTGAGGCTGCGCAAGCAGACCTAAAACAAGGTGCTTGGCTCTCCAGTGCGGTCGCTGACCCCAGAGCGCTTGCGTGATTTCAGCTTGGATCTTGTCGAGGGTTGCCTTAGGGATTTTGGTTATATGGGCAGCAAAGGAGCACTGTGGGATGACCTTGGACCCAATAAGCTGACATTTAACTGAACGCGGGAGTGGCAGGGCTCCAATGTTGCGAATATCACCACAGATCTTCTGAGCCTTTTCATCAGCGAAGTCAAAAGCAATACGCTGCGAGGTATAAATCTTTGTACCCAAAACATCAAAAGTCTCCTGAATTAAAAACCCAGGGAACTCAGCTTTGGCAATCTTCCGGGCAGGACCATTGGAAGCCCAGACAACAGATTTATCTTGATTAAGCTTCTGACCGACCAAGGAATCCCAAAGCTTAGTGACTTCAAGGGCAAGCCTAAGTTGAGCAACAAACTGGATTTTTGCCCAAAGATAGATGTCATCAATATAAATGCGGCAAGACAGGTGGGGAACATCACGGAGGAAGGCAACCCACGATCTCATGTAGGCATTAATGGCTATCAATGAGAACGAACATCCCTGCGCAACTCCGTTCGGAGCCGTGGTGGGTGTTCCAGAGGTCCACCCCCTATACGAAAGATGTTTACGGAGCCCGTTGTATTGCCTAACAAAAATGCTGACGACTGCTTTGGAGCATCCAAGTGCCAGCAAGATGATAGCAACAAAGGCTGGAATAATGCGATCAAAACACTTACTCTTGTCGAGCTTGATCCCAACAATGGCTTCATCCGCAATGGCAGCTTCATCAAGCTCAAGTCTGAGTTTGGCAGGGATGGCAGTCATATGTCTGCCTGCAATTCCACCCACGATCGACGGGGGCATGGTAGAAGCTTGCCAGTCCTTAGCTTGCCGAAAGCGTGAGCCCGTGTAGGCTAGCAGCAATGGTGGCAAGATGGTAATGAGCCGTTTATTCAGTGGGGATGAGGGTCCTGGTTTATTAAGGATCACAATCTTGGCAGCAGTTAAAGCAAGTGGGATCGAGTGATCAGCATTGGCTTCAAGTCTTCGGAAAAAGGCTGCAACAAGCTCACAGATTTCGAGGGGGAAAGCTTGGAGTTCCGTGGTTCTCCAGCCATCGAGCCCAGGGGCAGCATGAGCATTACGAGCCTTAAGAGTGGCAAAAATGTCAGCACCCGTGATTGGCGGGGGGTTCCAAGGATGATTCTCTCTCGAAAGATAAGGCCAAAGCACTTTGAGGACCTCGATGGGGTCGTCATGACCAATGTTGGCAGCAAAAATGCTATCCCATTGCTCGTTGATAGCGCACAGGGCATCATTTGGTTGATAAACGATATGCCCTTGTTGATCAATGACGAGGTTGTTGGGCTGATCTTGTGCTTTATTCTTGAGGTGGTGATAAATGTAAGCTCGCGTAGACTTGGCGGAAGCAC